TTTTGTTTGCTATAGGGTGCCCACGCAGCTCGCCAGAAAGACAGAGATAGACAGAGAGACAGAAAGCAAGAAGTCACCCCACACACAACAATCCCTTCTCCTCCATTCTCCTCTCGGGATCTTGGGCACGCACGCACACGTGCTGGGGGAGAGTTTAAGCCACCGGGTCTGGGACTTGAACCACGGACGACTACATGGGAGTCCAGGTGTAACCATTACGCCAACTGCTGGTCCCCATGGCTGTAATTTTTGTACTGAAACTTCCATCTCCCGCGGCTGTTCTCCGTGGCTTTCCCTCCCCGCTGTATTCTCTTTGGCTAGTCTCTTTCATTCTTTCTGAGTGGTTATTCCCCTAGGTAACGACCAGAATTTGATACTGTCACTGAGCTCTCAGGCTAGGACTGCATACTGTCTCTGGCGAATTTGGATTTTCTGTCTGATGGCAACACCTGAATGGTCACTTGTTCTCTCCAGAAATTGTTTCTTACCCCACAACCCAGCTCCTAACCCCTGGACAGTGGGTCCTGCCTAGTCACCATGACTGGGAACCCCTTCTAAGGCAATTATTTCTCTGTGCAATAGAAACCTTCACTTGCTTGCCATTACCTCCGTGGAGAGTGAGCACCTCCACTGGCATGCGAGGCCATGCCTTTCCACATCCCTACCAGTTCATGCACCCCCTTTCCTGGAACACGCTTGTGCTACTCACTGTTCCATATGTTTCCCTACCTCCAGCAGTCCTGCAGTTCTTTTTCATATCATCTTGAAATAGAAAAGCTCGCCCCGCATAGAGTCTGTGCGCTCCCTGGAAAGAAACAGAGATAATGGGAGGGAAAGTGAGAAATCACCCCCCAGTCCCTCCAGGCCCCTCCCCCGAGGAGAGATGGCTAGGCCAAATCCCGGCTCCTCCCGGGATTTTTGTGCTCACACGCACACATTCCTGGAGTGATTTTTCAAGCCACCAGGTCCAGGATTTGAACTAAGGTCTTCCATGTGGAAGTCCAGCACTGTAACCACCATGCCCCCTATTGGTCCCAAAGCGTTCCTCTTTCATGGCCCTCTCTCTTAGTCTTTCTTGAGCCTTGTGACTTGATAGAATCTTCCTTCTCTCTCCCCTATTGCTCCTCTCTTCCTTGTTGCTCTCAGTTGGCTTATTTTATCTCTGGAGGCACGGATTGCATTCTCCCAGACATCGCTTTATCCGAGACTCTGCCCTAGCTGTTTCCCATTAGACTGTAACCTGAGTGAGGGCAAGACCCGTATCTTACTCATCTGTTAGAGTAGTGCTTAAGAAGACACCTTGTCCATTTTATTGCACTTGTGCAGTAAATATACCTTGAAATGGGTTCACAAAGTTTCTCAGAAGTTGAGAGCCTTCATATCTCCTGGGCAGGGGCCTCGTGGCGTGGACAGCATCTGAATGAACCTCATGAGTTACATGTACTTTTTAAAATCAAAACTTCCCAGTCACTCAGTTTTCTTTTCATCATCTGCAGCCGTCTCTTTTCCCTTCTCTCTGCTGTTCCCTACTGATCAGTGATTGCTGCCTCCTTTTTTGACTCACCCATCTCTTTCTCTGCATTTTTCCTTCTCTCAGTCCTTTTTGGTTCCTGACCCTTTCCTTCATCTTCCCTGGCACCAACCTTCTCTGATTCCTGCTAGGTCCTTTCATTTTCTCCCTCCCTAATGTACTATATTAAGCACATATGGCATAACCAGGCAGGCATCCTAAGATCTATGAGATAAGGAAATAATAAAATATGATTAAAAGAGCATCTAAAACAACTGCTATGTTTTAGCAAATTACCTCAAAAGGAATCATTATAAAGTAAAATGTTTATCCTTTTGCTTATCATCTCAACCACTACCCATGCTACCTAGCATCCTAGGGCCCTCCTTAAGGGAATGCTGCTATAGTTGGGTGTGGTTCACCATCTTGACTCAGAAAAGAAATGGGCTTCTAGTCCTAGATCCCCCACTAACTTCGTATAAGAACTTGAACTGCTCTCGGGACCTCGTCTCTTCACGAGTAAGATTCCGAAGTTGGGTTCAATTAGTAATTCCCGAGGTAGTCCAAAGAACGTGGATTTTGCACAACTTTAATGGATGTCATGCAAAAACAATAGGGAATGGGTTGTTCCGTGGTCAAATTGTCTTGAAAACTTGTTTCAAAGAAGTTAAAGCTATTTCGTGGTCAGATTGTCTCAGAATTTATTTCAACAAAGTTAAAACTATTTCTTTACCCCAACTCTTCTCCATATCTTTAATAAGCTATGTGCCAGGAGGAGCCAGCAGGTGACATGGTGGCTGAGGTACTGGACTCCCACATGGCTGACCATGGTGTGAGTCCTGAACCTACCGACTTTCTTTCTCACTTTCCCTGTCTTTCCCTGGACAAATTTAAAAATAACAAAATTAAATAAGAATTTAAAAATATAATAATAAGCTGTGTACCCTTAGATCTTAGGGAAGCAGGGCAAGACACTTAGAAACATTTCCCAACTTATTTGAACACAGAATCTTTTTTTTTCTCATGATATACCAGACTGTGTTACTTAGAAACTAGTTTAAAAAATATAAATGACAGCCACTGTCACCAACGTTCCCCAGCTGTATTAAACACTGATCACTCGTGCCTTTGTAGCCAGGCACTACGTGAGAATAAAAAAGGATAAGCTGAGAATGGAAAAGTATCCAAGAGCCAAGAATTTTTGCCTACCAAATCAATCCACCAATATTTGTTGTGTGATTATCCTGTGAAAAGCACAGAACTGCTCCAGCTGTGTTCCTGAGAAAAGGCATTAATTTTACCTTAGCCTAAGTACTGTCTGAAGCCTTGAGCTTCCCAGGCCTCTGGACCCCATGCACATTTTGATTTCACATCGTAATTGTTTACAAACTGACTTTCCATTACTTAAAGCCCATGTTTAAGGGCTTATGTTAATTTGTTTAGCAGTCCAATGACAGAAAAGGAGAGAAAACCTTTCTCTTGAACTCATTCCATCCAGAAAGATGGAATACAATTTCCATTTCCCTTACCAAAGAAGACTCATTTCAGGAGCTCAGAAGAGGAAGGCCGCTACAGTTGTCCAGGATGAGGCAACTGTTGAGAGGTGGCAACAGAATCTGTACCAGGTGACCAGATAGACCTCCTGAACCTCTCATTTCCATACACCTCATTTAAGCATTTTAAGCCAGGAAAGAGACAGAGTGTTTGGTTTGGTCAGGATTGTGGGGGAGAGGATGGGAAATAATTTCTTCCTTTTTTTTTTTTTTTTAATTTGCTGTACGGTGCTTGCACTCACAAGAGAGAGAAAGAGAAACAGCAACCAAACATCCCCTGGAGTGGGGGGTGGCCACACCACAGTCCCTTCTCCTCCACTCTTCTCTTAGAATTTTAGACACACACGCACGTGTGCCCAGAGTATTTTTCAAGTTGCTGGGTCCGACTTGAACCACACAGTTCAAGCTGGGCCATGTGGGACCCAGCTGCCTTAATCGCCATGCCAAATAGCTGACTCTAACTTCTTTTTTTCTTTTTTTTTTATTTTTTACTTTCTTCCATGAGCAACAGACAGAGAGAGAGACAGCACCCCCAACAGGATCTCAATACTATTGGGTCAGCAGAAAAGTCATGATGCATTTTTAAAAAAGAAAAAATATAAAAAAACACACAAAGGAAAATATGTCATGACTTTTCTAACAACCCAATACGACTCACCCCAGAGTTCCGTCAGCCCTGGGTCATGGGCACACATGTGCCCAGGATACTTAGGGAAGTCTCCAGATTTTAACTAGCCACCTTTCCATGTGAGATTTCTTCACAGAGCATCATAGTTGTTTTCTGTTTTGTTTTGTTTTTCTTTCTGTTTTAGTTTAGTTTAGTTTAGTTTTTGAAGTTGACCAGGGAGAGAGAAAGAGAAAGAAGTAAAGTGAGAAAGCAAGCTGCTAAGTCCAGGTCTCAAAATGTGGTCAGCCAGATTGGAGTCCAGCTGCCTTAACCACCATGTCACCTGCTGGTTCCAACATTGTGTTTTACTGCTGTCTGGACCTGGATTTTTGTCTCTAAAGTTATTGACTATGTCCCTAACTAGCTGTGTTGCTTTGGATGTTTCACTTCTCTTCACCCGGTCAAATGAAAGCTTCCTTTTTTTTTTTTTTTCTGCACCGTAAAAAGAGTTTCAAAGACTTCCCACTACAGGGGGACCTTTAAGGAGCCATTCTAGTTCTCACATCCTGGAATGCTGGGCAAAGTGCTGGGGTAACACAACAGAAGTCCTGCGAATAGATGACAATAGATGAGATTGTTCGCCACTGGAAGCAGCAGAGGATTCTACCATGTATTGTTAGAGAGACCATCACTGTCAACCCAGGGACTTTGCAGATAATGTCACCTCCCTTCATCCCAAAGTCAAGATGTAAGGTTAGGTGTGCTACTGAATTAATGTGGGTAAATTACTTGGAAGTTCACAGTTGAAAGGCAAAAGATAAGCACCTAAAATTATTATTATTGCCCTTGAGCTCTCCAAGGCTCTTCTGTTTCTTGGGCAAAGCCTCATTTGAAAACTCTGTAAGTTTGGTGATAAGCCCTGTTCATGGCCCTGAATGAAACTGAAAAGAGGACATCTTTCTGGGGACTGAAAGTAGGGCTAAGCCCACTGCCTTCTTTAGTATTTTCAGGTGCTACTGTCATTTGCAACAACTTCACCTACCTGAATGGATATCCTGTCTTCTTTGTCAAACCAAAGCTTGAATTTTTGGAACTCTCATAAGGCAGGAATTGCTCTTTAGCACAGATGACTGAGGACATAAAATGTGCTTTGAAGAGAGAGCTGCATAAAGAATTCTAATAATATTGAACATAGTGGCATTTGTGTTGTGTCAAGGAAATAAGCCTTGAGCAGGTCACTGGTCATAATGTCACTTTTATGTTGAAAGTTGAAGATCCCCTAGTCTAAACACTTCATTTTACACATTGAGAAATAGAGACTCAGAAAAGTGAAATGAATCACCCAACTCCGCACAACTAGTTAGTAGCAGAACCGGAAGTGAAAACGAGGTCTCAGTGCCCCAGCCATGTAGGAAGCATGTGGATGGGGTGGGGTGGCATCCAGGCTGGGCTGAATTCTTTTTGCCACTCATCTTTGAGTATCTTGAATTAAAGTCAAATAATTAAGCCCCTTTCTGTTTCCCAGAGCCTCCTAATGAATGAATCCATTTTAAGGTCCTGGAATGGAAGAAAGACAAGAGGAGTGAAAGTGTGTATGATGATTAGAAACTGCTCATAAGTATTTTTCACACTCTCTCCCTGGAGTGAAGAACATAGCGTAATGTGAAGCATAGCACAAAGTAGATGCAGTATTTTAATATGATATAGACCAAGAAATACTGAAAGCTAGATGATGTTTTACTTTCTGAATGTATTTGTCTTTTGATGGGACTTCCCCCAATCATTTCTGCTACCTTAAGGATTTAGAATTTAGAAACATGCTCAGTTAGGGATGAGGAACTCCCACAGAACATCTTTTCCCCAAAGCCCATAAATTTTACCACACCTCCTGCACCTGGCCTGAGTTCTAAGCCTGTGAAAACTCCATCTCCTGAGACTTTTGCAATCACAGACCATTCAACCTGATGCTTTCCAGTGCTTTCTATAACTGCCACACCCTGTTTTTCATTGGGTTGGGTCAGGGTAGAGAAGTGCTCCACCAATTGTATCTTTGGGGTATTTATTTGCATGCTTCTACAACACTATGTCCTCAGCTAGGCTTCACAGTACTTCAGAATGAATCCTCTCTTCCTCAGTGAGCCCTGAGTGCACACTGATGCCGTTATACCCTCTTCTCCTGTGTATCTGTAAAGTGTCTGCTTGCCTGCTAACCTAGGGGAGAGAGCCAAGGGAGGCTGGAAAGAAACGGGAGCGTTTTTATGCTGGAAAATGAGAGCAATGGATGATCTTGGGTTGTGACTAAGTAAGCCAGATCAGTGGTCTCAAGAGGAAAATGCTGGGCAGAGGAAGACGCACAAGAAAAAGAAGGTCAAGGAAGATCAGAGACAGAAGAAGGTCCTGGGAGATGGCCTAGTGAGGTGAAGTTACTCAGATAACAGATGCACAAGCCTAGGCCCATTAAAGGGGGCCTAGTCTGGCTCCAGGCAAGTTACAAACAGCCCTATAGTTCCTCATCCCACAACCTGTGCTACCTTCTATTATGTAGTTCTCTGCATGTGTCTTTCCTTCCGCCCACTTCTCCCCTTTTTACTTTCCAAAAAGCTAAAAGGGCGGCTTTCAGAAAGAAAAGAAAAGAAGAAAAGAGAGGAGAGGAGACGAGAGGAGAGGAGAGGAGAGGAGAGGGACAGGGACAGGGACAGGGACAGGAAAGGGAAAGGGAAAGGAAAGGAAAAAAACTAGGCCTTGCATTTTCAGACAACAGCTCTAGGAAATCCCCAAGCTCTGCAATTGAAGCGACAAGATTGGCAGCTCAACTGAACATCGAAACAGGAACTAGCTAGCAACAAGCCACCCTCCAGGAACCAAGAAGTCAAAAGAAAGAAAAAAGTAATGGCCAACTGAAATTCTTATCACCATTTCTTGTGTTGCATATGAATATGTTTATATGTTTATGTGTTTTGTTTTTAGAAAGTTATCTTTGAGGACAATGAATCTAAGTCACTGATTTATTGATGAATTCAAAGAGTACAAGAATGCTGTAAAATGTTATGCAAATTTTATCATCAATATGCATTCAATGTCACATAAGAACTTCTTTTTTTTCTTTTTTTTAATAAAACCTCAAAAAGAGTCATGTCCCCATAAGATCAAAAACTCCTAGAATGCAGTAGGTCATTATATCTAGGCCCATTGTCAGAGTGGGTGTTCCACCAACAAATGTCACCAGACTTTCCTTTCCTTTCTTTCTGTCCTTCATGTCAAACCAGATATTGAATCAAAGTGCTTTCATAGTAACTATAATAGAAAACTGAGCAAAACAAAATTGGTGTTTAAGACAGCAAGTGGTACAGAGGTTAAGGTGACTGGATCCCACATGGCCAGGTGCTCTGTTCTGAGTCCTGATGGCGGCTTGAAAACCCGCATGTGTGTATGTGTACCCAAATCCAAAGAGGAGAATAGAGAAGAGATTATGGCCTGGCCAGCTCCCTTGGAGTGGAGATGGGGGTGATTTCATGATTTCTCACTTTCACTCTCTCTCTCTCTGGCAGATGTACACACCTTACAGCAAACAAACACACAAAAAGGCCTAAAAAGAGATGGACTGCCATCCCAGGATACCCCAATAGTCATTCCAGTCAGGTATGGCAACTACCTTTTATTATATTGCCTTCAGTGAGCCAGAAATATAAACTGAACCTCCCAATATTTTCTGAACAAAAGTCACAGCCCTGTCACTCATGAATTTATCTCGAAAACACTTTTGAATTTATTTAAGAGAGAAAGCATTATGTGGTTTCTCTCGAGATATGCTCCACAAATGTTTCATCAAAAAAGAGTTCTAGGATATAGTAAGTTTGGGAAAACTGCTTATCATCTTCCCTCTAGGAAAATCACAATAAACAATGGTGTTTTCTTTAAAGGCTTGAAGAAATGCTGTCATAAGTAAACCCATTAATTTTCTTTAACCCACAATTCCTGGATTTACTTGACCATGGCACTCCTCTGTACAGTAGAGTCAATTAACATCCTGTCAGGACCAGCAGTTGGCGTAATGCCTATGTCGCTGGACTCCCATGTAGTCAACTGCAGTTTGAGTCCCAGACCTGGTGGCTTAAACTCATGCTGGGCATGTGTGCATGTGTGCCCAAGATCCAGAGAGTAGAATGAAGGAGAAGGGATTGCAGCGTGGCCATCCCCGCTGGGGGGTGCTTTCTCACTTTCTGTCTCTCTGTCTCTGTCTTTCTGGTGAGCACACATGCCCTATAGCAAAATCTTCTCCAAAACAACAAAGAAAATCCTATGGAATACACATTGGAAAGCACTGATAACAGTGACATGACAGTAGCATGTGATCTGGACCAGAAGACCAGAGGCTTGGATTACAATCCTAGCTGGGCAACTAATAGGATGTGTGATCTTGGGTCATTTGAAGGCCTCCCAGATTCTTTCTGGGACTGTGATTTATCCAATATGATCTCTGGTTCTGCTTGTAACCATTTTCCATATTTTCATTCAGGAGCCTATGTGGGGCAATGATCCTGCTGATAAGCCACCTTCTCTTAAGTACTCTTTGGAGACATAAAGCAAACGTGGAGGCACTAGAACAGGATGGCAGCCACACTGTAAAGTTGGGTTGGCCATATTCACTGTGATGGCTTCTTGTGATAGGTCCAAAGCCATAGACCTTAGCAAACACAAAGGCAGCCTATGAGCATTTGATGGGGCTGTGTTTTTGGAAACCACACAACCCCTTTGAAGCAAGCAAAGTTTCATATGCCTGTAAGAGCAAATGTCTCTTTTCAAAGGACTGAAGTTATTTCCCACAGGTATTGTTACCTTCTGGGAGAATCCTCTATCTCAGAGAAAAAGACTGCTGACTCCAGCTCACTTTCAAAGGTGTTTGAGTCAGCAACAGCCCTGACAGCAAGCTTTCCCAGGGAATACTAGAGGCCTGGGAATACTTTAAGTACTACCTGTAAAGTGTCTTGCACAATCAGTGGGGAAGTAGCCCAGGGAGCTATATGAAGACTACAGGAGCTTTCTGCATCCTAAGCCCAGAAAGCTCTATAAAACTTCTGCAAGCAGAGCATGGGGAGGACGTCATAAAAAGCAAAGCCCTCAAGGCTGCCGACCAGAGACAAGTTGGAACTTGTTCCATGGAGGGGCTTTTCTTCAGCCACCACTGTGGCAGAGTATGTGTCCTCATATTCAGGCGGGAGCCACATGTCCAGGCAGGCCATGCTGCGTGTAGCTTCCTACTTTACATAGACAAGTCTTTCAAAAATAAAACCATCTCTTCACTCACTTGCTCTTTGGTGTCCCATGAAATCTAAACAGTTTAGCAAAGCATACTTCTATCATCCCAGCCCAGTTTTGCCTTGCACTTGAAAGCCTGAGCTCAACAAATTAGATACTATACATGGATAGCAATAAAAGAGAGAGAAAGAGTGCTATATGCTACAATGGAAAGCTCTCCAATAGTACAATGCTAAGTAGATATCAATGTTAGTATATGCCACTTTGGAGAGGAGGAAGAACATTCATTCAGACTTGTTTATATTTACATAAAGAAACACCTGAGGATCTACAAGAAATGAGTGTAGCTATTGCTATGTACAAGAGACAGAAGAGATGGGGTATTCATGGACCAGGAAGAGAGCAAGACTTCTCAGCATATACCTATTTTTATTATTGTAAATTTTGAACCTATCATCACAAAGTCCTGGCCTCTAAGATCGGCAGAACTGAATTTGGTTTTGGGTTCTTTTAGGTTTCGCCATAGGGTGTGTGTCCTTACTGGAGAGAGACAGAAGGAAAGTGAGAAATAACCCCCCTGGGGCGATGGCCACACTACAATCCCTTCTCCTCCATTCTACTCGTGGAATTTCTGAGCATGCATGCATGCACCCAGTGTGATTTTTCAAGCAGAACTGGATTCAAATACTGGCTTTTCTGTTTTCTAGTTGTGAGCAAAAGTGACTTCACATCCTCTAACCCGCAGTTTCCTTACCTTGTGGGTGTAATTACAGTGCTCATTGCATTAGGGTTGTTGTTCAAATGAAGTGAAATAATATTTGTAAGGTACTTAGCAGAATACGTGACATACTGTGAGTACCTGATAATAAGAATGTTTTGATTGCTATTGACATTATTTTTACTTATTAAATTTCGACTGATCCTTCAGACTTGAAGGATCCTTCTTAAATTTCGACTGATCCTTCATATTGGGAAGCCAATATGTCCTTTGAGAAGTTTCCCTAAGCCAAGGCAGAGTGGAGTTTTTCTTTCTCCCTTGCACCCACGATTTGCCTGTCTGTTCTCAGGCTGGTCTCTGAGGGTCAGCTCTTCATTTTCACATTGACTCCCCACTGGCACCCACGATTTGCCTATCTGTTCTCAGGCTAGTCTCTGAGGCTCAGCTCTTCATTTTCACATTGACTCCCCACTGGACTGTGAGCTCCTCAAAGGTAATAACTCTGCCCCTGCATCAGGCACCTTATGGGTGCTTCTCAACAAATGCTTGGAGAAAGAATAAAGGACCTAATAAAATGGCTATTTCCTGTGTAACAGCCTGTCTGAGGCTGTCCTTGGGAGTTTCGCTTCCTGGTTTAGCCAGCAGATGCCTGGGTCTGCAGGTAGTAGCTCAGGAGAATAAAATCTAACAAACAGCTTCCAGTGCTTGCAGCTAAAACCTCACTTTGCTGTGAATGTGCTGAAAGGAGAACCATGACAATTTGTAGTGGCCTCCCAGGAATGGCAGGAAGCTGGAGTTCTCCAGAGATCTCAGCCACATTGGATCCCAAGTAGAATGTGCAGGCTGACCCTCCAGCTACCGGCATGGAAGTTGGATTGCTACTTCAGCCTCAGCCGAGAGACTGGACCCAACAATCCCCACGCTGTTTCTGCCCTCACTGGGCCTGTTTCATGAAGGTGAAGCTTGGTTCAAAGAAAGAGCTGACAAAAAAATAAAACCAGAGTGGCAGCGTGCTGCACAGGAAGTTACTGGTCTGGGAACCAAAGCAGAGCACAAGTACTTGGTTGACACACCACAAGAAAAGCTGCCTGAAGATCAGACCATAAAACAAAACCCAGACACTATTTGCATTTTGGGGTTTCTTCTTTCAGAAGTCAAGTCAACAATGCCTACTGTTGTAAGGCAGAGCCAGGTCCACGTCAGCCTCTACTAGTTATCATTGGGTTGAGCTTAGAAAAGGGACCTCTGGGACCAGCAATTAGCGTAATGGCTATGTCGCTGGACTCCCATGTAGTCGACCGTGGTTCGCGTCCCGGACCCATGGCTTAAACTCACACCAGGCACGTGTGGGTGCATGCCCAAGATCCTGAGAGGAGAATGGAGGAGAAGGGATTGTGGTGTGGCCATTCCCTGTGGGGAGTGATTTCTTGCTTTCTGTCTGTCTCTCTCTATCTTTCTGGCAAGCGCATGTGCTCTATAGCAAAAACCTCTCCACCCCCCACCCCCCCAACAAAAAAGGAAAGGAAAGAAAAGAAAAGAAAAGAGACCAAAAGGGACCTCACTGAGCCTCACTCTCTTTGCCTGGGAGCCACTGGAGAATGATACCAAAGGCTCAAGCATTTACATGTTTTTTTCCTTCCTTCACTGTCGATTCTTTTTAAAGGTGGGAAAGACAAGGCCTGCCCAATCTTATTATAGCGATGACACATATCTTGTACATACAGGAAACCCACTCCCTCCACACACATATACACCCACTACACACACATTCACCGTACACATATATAATACACATATACACAACCACAAAGCACATGTACACACCACGCACGTTATACACATACATACTACATACGCACACACTCATATACATACTACGTTTAGAACACTTATGAAGCAACGCCTCTACCAACAACAATGAAAGAATTTTTATACTTCTGGGTCAGCCAATGGCATGGTGCTTAATGTGACTGGATCTCACATGGCCATCCACACCATTCGAGTCCCAGACCTGGTGGCCTGAAAAACACACTGGGTACATGTGTGTGCATGCCCAAACTCCTGAGAGGAGAATGGAGAGAAGAGATTGCGGAGTGGCCAACCTTCCTGGGGGTACTTTCTCACGTTCCCTCTCTCTTAGATGAGTATAGATGCCCTTCAGCAAAAATTTTTACAAAAAGGGTTTTTATAGTTTTTCCATTGGCTGTACTTTAACTAGAAACAGATTTTCTTCCCCCTAACTGTTTCTGGGTCAGAGTTCTTCTAAATGTGGCTCTACTCATGGCGATTTTGTTTCCTTTTCTCAGTCAACAGTCATTCAACACCATTGCCTAGGTGTTCTCTGCAGCCCTGGCCTTTTATTAGTTCATAAATCTGGAAACTGAGGTATTGCTTACAAAAATCCATAGGGACTTCACCACTTCTTAACTACTGTGTGCCCGGCAGATTCCAGGGTTTCTGAACCTCATCACACCCAGCACTTAACTGCTGTCTTCACCCTCCACAACCAATGAGGAAATTGAGGCTCAGAAAGGTAAAAACATTGTTCAAGGCCTCATAAACAGAAAAGGGCAGGGCTGGGATTTGAACCTAAGTGATCTATTAGCCTGAGCTGTTTCTACTGCCTACTGCAGTCTTATGATACAAAATCCATTTGAGTTTTGGAAGAGTTTCTAATCCACTGCCCTGAATATAGTGTAGGCCATTTGTCTTCTGAGTTCCCACTTGGTTTCTCTTGGCCTGAGATCCCTCTCCTCTCCTTTGCCCTCTTGGAGCACAGCCCTGCTGGTGTAGAGCTGGGGGCCTCCCACTTCCTTTATTCAAGTGAGTAGGGCCAATGCAAAGTTCTCACTGGAAAATGCCATGCCCTCCAGACAAAGGTTCTGTGTGATGTTCTGATACCTGCCTGACGAGTCTTCTGAGAAAAGACCAGCTGGTGTTGCTGGACTGCCAGGCCTTGTGCAGGCAGAGTTCATAAACAACTTTTTCAGCCACAGACCTCTGAATGGACCAGATCCAGCTGCCTCAGTGCTTATAAATGCCCAGGCTTTGGCCAGTCAGAGCCCTTTTCTAGGGGGAAAAAAAAAAGCGGGGGAGGCTGGATTTGCAGAGACTGAAGCTGCAGGCTCCTTCATGACAGAAAAGGGCCTTCTGAGTCAGGCAGACCAAGGTTTAAATCCCAGCTATACCACCTTCTTCTTGTCTTACTTTTTAGGAATGTGTCTTCTGCTGCCGGAACTCCAGCACTCTCAGCTATAAATGAAGCCATCCCTAGTCCAGTGCTTGGGTTTGTTGCTAGTTTCTGATATGGAAGCAGTGAGCCCTTTGACCTTGAAGTTTTCATCTGAAATGTTCTTTATACAGGCTGAGTAAAGATGTCTCTTCCAGTTCACGGGTACAGTGTGGGATTTGAATGCCTTGTTTTCTGTCTCAGGGTGAACTCAGCTCTGTAGGAGGTGGTTAAATTCAACGGATTTTACTAGCGCCCTACACATCATACTATTACGGCCTCAGGGTACAAAGATAAAAGCGCAGGCCCTGCCCTTATGGAACTCATAGACTAGAACCGTAGGATGATAAGACTCATAAAAATAAGTATTATATGTGGTGAAGAGTGATAAGTACACTAGGTGGGGTACAGATAAAAGACTATGAAGGTTGAGAGCAGAGAGAGGGTGATTCTGGGATGGAAAGAGAAGTAAACCCATGGCAAGTCCATGAAGGGTCCTGAAGAGAGTTTGAAGAGGGCCAACTATTAGAAGCCACTAAAGGCTATGCCCCAGCAGTGGGCATATCAGAGTCTTGGGAATCTTTGAGTAATCTACTCTCTGGAGTAACCAGACTGAAGAATTTCCAAAAGAGAAAGACCATGTTCCATCATTTCACAAAGACTCTGTTCCATGAATGAAATAGTTCAGGATCTGCATAAAACACACAGTGGTCCGAGGCTGTCCTTTCAGTACTCTGCAGCCCGATGCCCACTCTCTCTCTCCTCTGTGCCCTCTCACTCAGCTGTCTCCCTGCATGAAAGATCTGAGAATGAGGGATGCGGGCCAGGAAGCAGGCACCCAGCTCATGGGAACACTTCGGCCTCAGCAGAGTCCTCCGGGACCTTTGCTGTCTCACCAGCTTGTCTTGGCCCAGGTCTCAGCATTCTGGGAAGGAGTTGGCCTCTTGAGGAAAGGATGTGTCAGTGTGTTGCCGATGGCCTAAGACACCTGAGAAGTATGTGTGTGCGTGCACGCAGGCATGTGTTTTGAGGACTAGGTGTTTTGCAGCTGATTTCAATCTGGGTCAGAATTTTTCCAGCTCTCAGCACATCTTTATCTAGAGAAGATAAGCTCCAACAATCCCCTCCAGGAGCACTCCGGATGTAAATACAGCTGTTTGCCAAGCTCTAGTTTTCAACAATGAAAAGCTTGCCTATTCATTAGCAGAAGGGATCTGAGTGGATTGTGGAGTTGGTAAACACCCCAGAAAGGCAATAGTCTACAACTGGCCCACTCCTCTGGAAGGAAATGCAGGAGAGGTACTGCTGAGCTCTGTCCCAGCCAAGCTTCCACCACGGGGGTCATCAAAGCCAAACCTGAAAGGGCCAAGAAGTAGAAGACACCCAGGTTTCAGCACCTGTCCTGCCAGTCACATGCCACGTGGTTCCCACCAATCTCACTGACATCCATTTCCTCATCTGTAAAGCAGGGCTAGTGTAGTGCAACCTCGTCACTATGAAAAACGGGAAGAAACTAAGAAAACTTCTGAATGAGGGAAAGAAATGGCTCTACCTGTCAATCTATCTCCTTTACTCAAAGACAAGACCCTTAGATGATCTTCTGAAACCTGCATTTTCTCCATTTACATAGTGAAAATATTCTTGGTTTTCTGGCTTCCTGTTCTACCACAGATAACACACAATTGATTAGTAGAGTGCTGGGCTCTAAGAGATAGGCATACTGATTACTGATAGAAACATAGAAAGTAAACAAGAGAGCAAGAAATGAGAAAGAAAAAATTATAGGACAGAAACAGGATCTTTAAAAGCAACTGGGACCACTCAGTGCTAAGGCAAACAGGTTTACACATGTCAGCAGCTCCAAAGGCCATCATGCCTAGGGGCCTAGTACGGTAATTTATACTTACAAGGCCTTTCCAAGGAAATTTCAAACAACTGCACTCTGTATCTGCAGTTTAGTAAGGGTTCACAGTATGTTATTTTAGAAGAATTTCCTTCCAAATGTTTCAAATAATGTTTTCACATTTCAAAGGGGAGCCCCAATATCACGAACACTCAGATATCAGAAAAGCAAGTGTTCAAGAGGGCACGTATGTACCTGTTCTCCACGTATCAGAGTTTGGCCCAAAGATCAAATCAAATAACAGTGATGAAAAACCTACAAAACCAGTATAAAACACAGCCTAATTAACCACTGGGGTAATTATCATGGTCTCAATTGTTCTTGAAGATTGACTGCATAATCCTAACAAACAAGCTTATTGGTGAGTTGACCTAGAATGCAAATTTGTTTGGCTCTTATTCTTGTTTGACTTTGAACTTTTTCCACACATGTGCCAAGTGCTTGACAGGAAGGGGTGCCCAAGAAGCACGGAGCTGTCTTCAAGTCTAATTGTTCTTCAAGGCTATAGAAGTATGAAGTAAATAGCACCCCTCCTGTCACTTTTTTCTTTAAATACATTTCAGTGCACAAATAATGTTTTTGTTAAAAAAAAAAAAAGAAAGAAAGAAAATACAGATGATAGAGAAATATAAATATGTGCACTTATATCACCTAGAAATACCTATTAGGTTGTCAGAAAAGTCATGACACCGTTTTTCTATGCAAAACTGTGTCATGACTTTTCTGATATCCCAATAGTATTAACATTTGCATTTAGATCCAGTATTTTTTTTTTTTTTTGAGAGGCTTTTTGCAATACGGCACGTGTGCTCGCCAGACAGACGGAGAGAGACGGAGAAACAGAAAGCGAGAAATCACCCCCCAGGGAGGATAGCCATGCCGCAATCCCTTCTCCTCCATTCTCCTCTGGGGATCTTGGGCACGCACACACGCGCCTGGCATGAGTTTTAAGCCACCAGGTCCGGGACGTGAACCGCGGTCAACTACGTGGGAGTCCAGCGACAGAGCCATTACGCTAACTGCTGGTCCCTAGATCCAGTATTAACAAGTTATAGAATTGTTCATATAAATGAGTACACTGGTAGGATTATTAGCCGAGCTTCTTTATATAGAAGAAAATATAGTTACTAATGCATTTAGAATGATGAGAGAAGAAAGCCATCAAGTAGGTTGTATTAGGCGTTATCGCTCCTCCATCCACCCCTCATCACCCTCTGTCTAAGGCATCCAGGTTCAAAGACCCTGCGTCCTTGGAGTTCGTCCTGCCTCCTGTGTGGTGAGAGATTGGTAAGCCAAGGTGAGTGCATACCAGTACATTCAGAAGCTATGGAGGAAGAAGCAGTCAGATGTGATGTGCTTTGTTCTGAGGTTCCATTGTTGGCAGTACTGTCAGCTCTCTGCACTCCACAGGGCTCCCCGCCCCACTTGACCAGATAAAGCATGCAGACTGGGATAGAAGGCTAAGCAAGGTTATGTCATATACAGGATTCGTGTGCATTGTGGAGGCTGCAAACACCCTTTTCCCAAGGGTGCAACCTATAGCAAGCCTGTCCATCATGTTTTTAACCAGCTAAAGTTTGTGTGAAGTCTCCAGTCTGTTGCAGAGGAGAGAGTTGGACGCCACTGTGGGGCTCCTGGAGTCCTGAATCCTTACTGTGTTGGTGAAAATTCCACATACACATTCTTTGAGGTTATCCTCATTGATCCATTCCATAAAGCTATCGGAAGAAACCCTAACACCCAGCGGATTACCAAACCAGTCTGCAGCATAGGGAGATGTGTGGGTTGACATCTGCAGGCCACAAGAGCCGTGGCCTTCGAAAGGGCCTCAAGTTCCACCACACTATGGGTGGTTCTTGCCGTGCAGCTTGGAGAAGGTGCAGTACTCTACAACTCCACTGTTACTGCTAATCTAAGAAATGGTTGTAAAGTTCATACCTCATAAATAATTTAGGACAGTCAACAAAAAATAAAAATAAATACAATGAGAGAAGAAAACCTGAGAAATACATCATCTATGCTGGGAATATAAATTCCTCAACTGCTCCACATATACATTTCTGAAATAGTAAGGATATAAACATAAATAAGTGACGACATCAGAGTATTATAAGCAAACAGAGGATACTGATATGTAACATCGGAATGAGCTGACCGCTTTAAGCAAGACAGGAAACCCAGAAGCCATAGAGAAAAAAACTACAGATTTGAAAAATAAAATATTTGAAACTCCTACATGATGAAAGACAGCATAGATGAAGTTAAAAAAACAAGTGATAGACTTAGGTAAAATATTTTCAACATTTAACAGACACAATATTTCTAATGTCAAACACAGACCTCTAGTACCCTGGTACCAGCCTCTAATCCCTGACTCCTACCCACTAAGTATTTCTATTTTTTTTCCTTTTTTTTTTTTTTTTTCTTTTCTTTTTGAGAGGTTTTTGCTATAGGGCACGTGTGCTCACCAGAAAGACAGAGAGAGACAGAGAGACAGAGAGCTAGAAAGCGAGAAATCAACCCCCCCTGGGGGGGATGGTCACGCCACAATCCCTTGTTCTCCATTCTCCTCTCGGGATCCTGAGCACTCATGCACATGTGCCCGGCATGAGTTCAAGTCACGGGGTCCAGGACACGAACCATAGTCGACCATATGGGAGTCCAACGACATAGCCATTACGCCAACTGCTGGCGCCATCCCCTAGGTATTTCAAAACACAGTATCTTTTCTCTCTAACAACAGATGTTCATACTTAATTTACAAAGAGTGCCAACAAAAGAGAACAACTCAAACTTCCAAAATAAAAAATAGGCAAGGGACCAGCAGATGGTGTAATGGTTATGTTGTTGGACTCCCACATGGCCAACCATGGTTCAAGTCCCGGACCTGGTGGCTTCAAACACAAACTGGGTACGTGTGTGTGTGTGTGTGTGTGTGTGTGCCCAAAATCCTGAGAGGAGAATGGTGGAGAAGGGGTTGCACTATGGCCATCCTCCCTGGGGAGTGATTTCTTGCTTTCTGTCTCTCTATCTCTGTCTGTCTCTCCAGTGAGCTCACATACCCTATACCAAAAATCACTTTAAAAAAATAGGCAAAGCATTTAAAGAAGAAAGGCAGATGGCTGATAAGCTTCAAAAGATATTCAACTTCACTATTGTCAAGGAAAAGCAAAAATTAAACAATTATTAGAACCCAGTGCTTACAAGGCCATGTGAAAATGAATATTCTCATACACTGCTAGTGCAAGTATAGATAG